GCGTGCTAACCAATTTGTTGGTACCGGGACATTTCTCCATCGGCATCTTCACCGCCGTGAGAACTCAAATATGAAAATACCAAAACTAACATGAAATAAATAGTGTTTGAAGGTGTAGACTCTATTGAAGTGGGTAAAAACAGATAAAGGTAGCGGGTTCATTCTACATTGTAATGAATCCTAGGCTATTATAAAAGGCAGGGATCTTCTTAATCAGCTTAGTAACCAAGATATTTAAAATGTCTCTTCTTATTGAAATGAGTTAGTTGATTTTATCGGATACTTTGTTCAGTATGATACAATGAAATGTCAAAAATGAGATAAACGGAGGTGAATTTGATTGCAGATGTGGAGAATCATCCTCTGGGCAACAGCATCACTGTGTAACTAAATAGATTCATTCAACGAGTTCGAATACAGAATTAAAAGTAAACATACTACAAGTGTAACAATGCGAGTGAAACATCGCATAACATTGAAGTCGACTAATCAACGACAAGCTATACAAAACACCACCGTATAAAATTGATCAACCTTTCAGTCATTATTACAGCCTTCAAAAACTTCATCGGATGCTTTCAAGAAATAAGTATTGGAGATTGTAATGTAGGTTACAAGGTCACTGTGCAGTCAAATGATGTGTGTGTATGCATTGTCCTTAAACAGACAATGAACAGTTTATTTTGGTTTCCTTCAACCAATTTTCACATTAATAATTCTATTAGCTTAAACAGAATATCACAAATAAATGTTTTTGCTGGGAAAATAAATGAAGTCCTGTATTTGAGTTCATTTATGTTCATGAATCAAACACAGTAAAGTAGAATAAACAGAAATGAGGTGAACAATTAAAACCGCCAGCGGATAAGTTACAGACACAGTAAACCTGACTCGCACTCGCAGTTTCTTCTCACGCAGAATCAATTTTATACGTCATATTAATTTAAATTCGAAGCAATAATTTTCTCTAGCAAGGCTACCGTGTGGAACAGAATGTCATGACGCATTCGCAAGTATTTCCGCTTAGAGTTTTGGATCTCGAGTTAAAGAGTTGGAGCGTTCTGCTCGACTTCGCTTCCTTCCAGGTCCACCGTAACGCAAACTGATTGTTTCAATCTCCACAAAATATACGATAACTGAGTCTTACAGACTCCCAAACGCATTTATAGCCTATAATGGTTATTACGCAACAACATTACAAATGCTAATGAATAAACATGAGAACGAACTGCATATAAAAGCGAAGAAGCCTTGAGAAAAACCAGAAAGTAACTGACATTCTGATAGAAGAGCTAGAAGGATCAACAGTATTAAGACCAATCCCCCATTCGGTTCTACATGCTCCGCCCCCCCTAGACTATTCGACTTGATCATTGTAATAATATTAGTTGAAGAGTACAGATATTGAAGTTCCTCATTTTGTACTTTTCTCAAATCTCTTGTTACTTCCTCATTCCATGGTCCACCGTAGCACTTGTGCTTAACCACATTGATCCTAAACATCCCGTTAAACGACACAATCGGAAAAAACAGAATCATTACGTTGTTCCAGCAGAGTTCTGCATCGTGTGACCCATCTGGCTTTTCTGCACGAGTATACTAAACATACATACAAACAGAAGCAACAGAGAAGACAATTCTGCATCATATTAAATGATAATTACGTTGAAAGCTCTCACCATCACCAGGGCAAAACGTATTAATAATTCGCACAGTGGCGTCAAATGAGTACGACGAGCCGTTGAGGAGAAGTTCCCCCCCCCGTTACCCCCCGGTACGTCATTACGAATCAAATGTTGCAAATGTAATACCAAGGCGTAGATAACAAACAATAAAAATAAATTACAGGGTAATATTTATTACTATGTGAGTGTTATGCATGAGTGGCATATTTCTTAGTAATAACATTAGATGGCTATTTTACTGGTGCTGTTGCTATTATGCAGCTTATAGAAGTACTTATAACAGGGATCAATTTACAAGACGGATATACAACGGAAAGTGTAAAAATGCAGTAGTTCGTATAATGTCACATAATATAGACGAAGAATCAAAATAAATTCTGTACGCTGACGAAATATTCCATCTGATTCGATAAACAGATGTCAATGTGGAATCTGGAGGCGGAAATTTATGATCGAATGCATTAAGGAGACACAAACGATTAACTGGACAGGCTGTGTGGATTAAAACACTGTAAGACCCGTAAGGCTCGGTTTTGTTTCCAGGTTGACAATATGCCCTACACTGGGCATAGCTTCTATTTGCAACAGGTATTTAAGCTGCGTTCATAACAAAACATGCATATGACTGGTACTTACTATCATACGCTAAGAAATGTGATAGGCTTTATTAAGAGTTGACTATTGTTACGTTATCTATGGTTCACAAACTAAAGTGTTTGTAAGTGTATTTTGTTAGTGTTAAACAATTACTAGATTATAGTTCGATGTAAATGCTACAAAGGATTGCCATACATCCGCGATTTAATGTTGTAACAAAGATTCCGAAAGAAGAAAATGTCAACATAACACAAGATTTGGCCTTATATAATTCTAAAACAAACAAATGGAATGTTTTTAGTTTTGTTTCATATCTTAATGAGAAGAAGTAACCCATATTCCAAAAATTAATATCGAACCAATTAATTTAATTCTAATCCATCTAAGATACAGCAAATAAATCTTAATAATCCGTTATTCTAATAGGCATACTAAATTTGAAAGAGAATCCTTTAATCCATAGAGTTGTTACCTGCTAAAATTAATATGAGGATTCTAGTAGGCGACCGACTACACGTGACTGAGAGGGCTACAGGAGAGTATTACATCATCAGTTCTCAATAACGAGCAGGGACATGGAGTACGTAATCAAACAACACTCCGCTTCCATCGTCAGTCACTTAAAATGTCTTATCTGAAAAGAAAATTATAGCTGTTTCGCTTAATTAGTCCACCACAACTCGACAATTCAGAAAATAAAAGCACGATTTTGACCCTTTTAAGTTGAATGTATTTTAAATAAACTGAAACCAAAAGTCTAACTTAAATAATATAATTTCGAATCGCTTAAAAACAGAGAAATTTGACAATGTAAGGAAAAGGATTTTCGAAAAAAATTGAGCTACAGCGGATCTGAAATGTATCTATACATTAATTAACTTGTGGGCCAATGTAATATAATAAAGATGTATAAATGCATACATGTAAGCATGTATTTGTATGTGTGTGTGTGTGTGTATGTGTGTGTGTGTGTGTGTGTGT